TTTTGAAGTGGATTGACAAACAGACCCTAATTACAAGGGTAAGGTTTGCGTACAACTGACCCCCCAGACCCTAACCTGTTGGGAATATACTGAGTATGTTGATGTTGATGATGAAGTGGATTGATAAACAATCACACTCTTAGAGCATCTCCAATGGTAAGTTGTTTATTTTGGGTTGCATAGCATGGAGAAAGGAGATTAAAAAATTGTGTCTCCAATGGTGTATGTTAAAGATGGTTTATTATGACATGTGTAAATTTATAATTGTTTGAAAAAAAGAAAAAAATTGAATATATAATATATAATAGAAGTAATCTAGAAATACTTCTAAATTTGGAAAGACTTTTAGAATTTTTTTATGCCACATAAGATTTTTTTTGCAATGTGGCAACTAGATAAGGCAATCAAAAGGCCATTAGAGATACTCTTAGTCTTTGGCGTTGTCCGTTTTTGTGGCTATTATTACATTAACGTGCTGCTTTGGTCCATCGAGGTCCTGAAATTTCTACCTTCTTCACAGTTCAACTTTTCATATTTGTAATTGAAAATTTAATTAATTAATAATATAATATTAAATAAAAAGGTACCGGGCTCTTGATTGATAATAATATACCAATTAAAATCAACAGCCTAAAGAAAAACATTTCAAATAAAAATAGAGACAAAATTAAAGTAAAATAATAATATCTGCCAGCCAAACCTTTTATCATCATGTTCATGTCCTGATCTATCTTCTCTATTTATCAATTTACAACTGATATTGTTGTTATTGTTACCCAGCCAACAATTTTGCAGGAGGTTTTTCTTACTCCTCGACGATTGATTGATCGAGAGAGAGAGAGAGAGAGAGAGAGAGAGAGAGAGAGAGAGAGAGAGGAACCTGTGACTCGATCCGACGGTCGAAAATGGACGAGCAGGGGAGGGGATGCTGTCCGTCGATGGATCTGATGCGGTCGGAGCCTATGCAACTCGTTCAACTCATCATCCCCATAGAGTCCGCTCATCTCGCCGTCTCTTACCTCGGTGACCTCGGCCTTGTCCAGTTCAAAGACGTTAGCAATTTTTTTCATGTTCCCTTTCTGTTTGCTAGTTTTTGTTTTAATTCGTTCCTCCATTTGATTTGAGATTGTTTTTTTGGGTAATGTTATGTGGCTGGTGTTTTATTTTGATTTTATCGGCTACCGGTTTGGGTAAATTCTGGTAATTATGAATCTAGGTGACTGGCGAGGACTTGAATTGGTTGATGTTTTTAGAAGAAGCGGAGATGGATTTTCTAATTGATGTGTATAAGCCTGGGTTGCTGTCTGAGTTGATTAGGACAGTTAGTTCGTGCGTGCTCGAGTAATGTTTAAGCTACAATTGAATGAATCTAGCAGGCTTTACCCAGCTGCTCTATAGTTGGAAATTGGATGATCATGTAGAATGATGGAGATATAGTTAATGCAGTGGTGATATTGGTGTCATTATGATTTCATTTCGCAAAGTAGCGTATCTAAGGTTGTGCTGTGCGTTTCTAGTGATTGAATTGATTGGTATCCATGCATAAGTGGAGATTTCTCTCATATTATATTGATAAACACGCATTTGTTTACTAGAGAGATTAATGATTGTTAGCACTGAACACTTATTGCAGTGTTCCATGATATATTCAGGTTAAGGTGTTGTGTGCCTAACAATTGATATTAGAACCACCTATGGAGGAATACTAGATATATTCTTGTTTGTCTAGCTTTTGATAATGATTTTACCATTAAATTGTTGGTCGGTTGGTAATTGTTACTTAATGGATTTGTATGTCCATTCTGAAGTTTGGAAAAAGAATGTTGATTGGCTTGCTCGAAGAAGCTGATGAGAACTAATATATTTCACTTTATGGCAAATTAAATAAGTAACACATGGATGTATTAGCGTAAGAGTTACTCTGTGCTGAGTCTTTTATGCGTAATCTTGAGTTGCAGATAGGCTTAAGTAATTCTTAAGTATGTGGAAGATACAGTATGCCACGTAAAGATATTTAAAGCTATTTAGTGATCCACTGCTGTCTGTTTCAGGACTCCCATCAATCAACCGAATACATAAAAACAGGGAATGTGGGTTGCTCTTGTTGCTTACCTTTTATAATTGTATATTGAAGTGCATGATACACTATATATTTTTACTTTTTATACACTGCGGGAGATTGGCTTAGTTTCATTGTGATACTATGGGAGTGCTTCTATTGTCAATTATGATGGGATTTGAATTACGACCTTTGTATGTAGTGTTCTTAGTGTTATGTCTTCTGCTGATTGTTCTTACTTCTAATTTTCTTTCTTCTCTCAGCTGAATGCAGAAAAAAGTCCGTTCCAGCGAACCTATGCCATTCAGGTAGTTTTTGTGACCCGAATCAATTTTTCCAATGAATATTGGGATTCAAGTCAAGTACTGCAATATGACATTATGGGTCTATGGCTAGTAAGCGTGCAATGTGTTCTATAGAATTGGGCATTATGACTATTAGCATAGAAATAGAAATAGAAATAGTAGGTTATCATATCATACATAATTGTATCATTTTTATTTGAATGAGTTAGTATTATTGTTTATTTTAAGAAGCAATTTCTTTCACATGCAATGGTCGCACTCTATCCATTTTGAGAACCTGTTATCTTTATTTTAGATATTTTTGTTTTGCCTTGTACTACACATGATGCTAAAGCATTCTTGATTTTGTCCTTTCTAAGATTAAAAGATGTGGAGAAATGGCGCGGAAGTTAAGATTTTTCCGGGACCAGATGTCAAAAGCAGGGCTGCCACCTGCAGCAAGGTCTGAGCCACATGCAGCTGCTAGTTTAGACGACCTGGAGGTATCTATTGCAATTTGTAACTACACAATTCCACTATTCTAAAGTGCGTTTAACCCTGAGTCTCATGTCATTTCAATTTTCAGGTTAAGCTTGGAGACCTTGAGGCAGAATTAGTTGAAATAAATGCTAATGGGGAAAAGTTACAGCGATCCTACAATGAACTAGCAGAATACAAGCTTGTTATACTGAAGGTATGCATTTTTTTGTTATGCGTACTACTTTGCTGCAGGAAACATGGTGGGAATTGTTAAGACTAGGAACAAAAAAATGTGAAAGATCTTGTGACATTGTGATTTGAGGAAGTGCCCTAAAACTTTCTGAAGAATGGTTACTGGAAATGCTCTTAAGCAATGGTTTCATAGCTTCAACCTTTAAGAATCACATGTTTAACTCCCATGGAGATGTACTACACAGTCTACACTGTTGATGATTTTATTTATCTTTCTCTTGGGTTTTTTTATGTCCCATTGTTCTGATTCGTAAAGTACATTTTAGATGAATATACTCATTGTGGGCTAGAATAGTATAACCAACCTTGCACAGAAAATACTTTTCTTTAGAAGACCAAGTAAAATTATGTATTTATCAAGAATTCCAGATGTTTGCTATGAATTCACCTCCATTGCATCTCCATGATTAAATCGAGGAGAACTGCAGCTTCTGCTGTTTGTAACTAAATCTTTCCACACGGAAAACCTTTGCCAAGCGTTAGTTGTTACATGCTGATGTGGAATCTGTTCTACTTCTTAGGCTGGTGAATTTTTTCACTCTGCCCTTAGCAGTGCTGAGGCTCATCAAAGGGAATACACATCAAATCAAAGTGGTGAGGAGTCCTTGGAAACACCATTGCTAACTGAGCAGGTAACAGCATTTACTATAGCCTATAACCATGTTGAAGTTGGTGGTGTTTTGAATGATCTTTTGTTTCTAGGGAGCAGCAATTGATCCTTCCAAGCAAGTCAAGCTGGGATTTATCACAGGACTTGTCCCCAGGGACAAGTCCATGGCTTTTGAGAGAATTTTGTTCCGAGCTACCAGGGGTAATGTGTTTTTAAAACAGGCTACTGTGGATGAAAAGGTCATTGATCCTGTATCAGGAGAAAAGGTTTGTGTCTAACGTGTGCTGTAATATACATGTTAACCGGGGAAAGTTGATAATAATGTGCTTTGAAAGATTGTAGTACTCCTATTTATTGTTTATCTCTAGTCTCTTCTTACTAGTAGATAAAAACCATGTTCCAAGTGCTTTTATTCATCCTTTTATTTTCTTTTGTTTTCCAATTATGAACTTGCAATTTAATGGATATTTTTAGTATGTTTTTAAAATATTGCAATTCGGTGTCCGAAAATCACTGATGTATTGATGTTAATTATGTCCACGTGTTGACATGAAGTGTTGTACTATTGTACCAAAACAGATGCTATGGTTGATACTTTTCATTCGTATAGGAGTAAGATTAGTGAAAATATGACATTGCAAGTTGATGCATTTACCATGTCCTTATATTCATAACATTTCATTCAATTTACTATTTGTTATTTGAACCGAAAGCACAATACATGGAGAACTAATTTATGCTTCATATGGTATAGGTTGAGAAGAATGTGTTCGTGGTCTTCTTTTCTGGAGAGAGAGCTAAAAACAAAATTCTCAAAATATGTGAAGCTTTTGGAGCAAATCGCTACTCGTTTAGTGAGGACCTGGGCAAGCAATCTCAAATGATCACGGAGGTAATAATTGCTTTGTTATGAGTAAAAATAGGCAAGAAACATAAATTTAGTTTACACCTTACTTCTGCCAAGTCAGGTCTCCGGGAGGCTGTCAGAATTAAAGACTACCATAGATACAGGACTTGTTCATCGTGGTAATTTGCTACAAAGTATTGGAGAACAATTTGAGCAGTGGAACTTCTTGGTATGTTGCTTAACTCTATCTGGGTACATGCTAGTCCAATATTATTCTCATTTTTCATCAAGTAATCAGCACCATCTGCTATGTTATGAATGCTTTATGGTCCTTTCAACTTACTGATTACTGTTTTTCATTAATATGTATCTTTGATATGTTTTGATAAAGGTGAGGAAGGAGAAAGCCATTTACCATACCCTGAATATGCTCAGCATTGTTGTCACCAAGAAATGTCTTGTTGCGGAAGGATGGAGTCCTGTGTTTGCGACGAAGGAGGTAAATATTTTGCAACACTGCAATTTGATTTCTGTAGTTTATTTTTAGTGTCTTTTTCAAAAAAATCCGGTCATGGGAAATTCAGGCATTTCGTAATCAAATGATATTTTGTTATTGCAGATCCAGGGTGCCTTACATAAGGCAACCCTCGACTGCAACTCACAGGTTGACGCGATTTTCCAAGTCCTGCGTACACGCGAGATGCCGCCAACCTATTTTAGAACTAACAAATTCACTTCACCTTTCCAAGAGATAGTCGATGCTTATGGGTGAGTTTGCAGATTAATGTGGCTAATCCTTTTAGTAAGTTGTAGTCGTAAACTCACTGTGAAAGATTGGCTTGACGTGAAACATTTTAAGAGGGAATGCAACCGTTATTGATCTGGTCAAGTGACACCTAAGCAACTTGATTCTTGTCTGAAATCAAAATTCTTAAAGTTGATCTTACTTGCAAGCATTGAATCTCTTGCTTTCCTGTGGTTTTCAAGAATAAAATGTTGTTAAATTGGATGACCTTTTTTTTTTTCCTTTTATAAGTATTGTAATGGTACTTACAAGATCCTGGTCTCTGAAGAGATGCTGCATGGCACTTATTGAATACTATTTAACTTCGAAATTATGAATTAATGCATTTAGTGTTTGAGCCTGAGTGGACTTCATATAACCATCATGGACCTTATTCTATCTTATTAGGATTCATCAGCTTCGAGTCCTATAACCTCAATTATTTTATGCAATACCATATCACATGTCAGTTTATGTGCTAGGTGACAACATTGGTCCTACAATTATTGAGTTTATAACTTTGTGAATGCATAATCATTGATATGATTTAACGGTTTTCATGACAGAGTGGCTAAATATCAAGAAGCAAACCCTGGCGTATTCACTATTGTCACATTTCCATTTCTTTTTGCTGTCATGTTTGGAGACTGGGGACATGGCATATGCCTTCTGCTTGCTACATTATTTTTTATTGTGAGGGAGAAAAAGCTCTCCAGTCAGGTAATTTCTGTAGAGTTTTTTTTCTTTCATCAGTTTATTAGCAGCTGTAAGTGTGCTCTATATCTGTTTGGTCATTTTTGTGTGCTTTGCTGTTCTCCTGCGAATGTAGCAATTCCCTTGTTTCATTTGGCTTTCTTTTTACCTTGCCAAATGTGCTATTGTTTGGTTTCTACCATTTTTTAAAGTGATGTTTCTAGTTGTTAGTTGCAGAGTTTTGCTGAAATGACTCTATGTTTAGCTTGCACTCTATTATTTCTTGGCTAACGATGGATTTAACATTGCCATATAATTGATTTACTATCTTTGGATGCAGAAACTTGGTGATATCATGGAAATGACTTTTGGAGGGCGTTATGTAATTATGTTGATGTCCCTATTCTCAATTTACACTGGGTTGATCTATAATGAGTTTTTCTCTGTGCCGTTTGAACTGTTTTCTCCTTCAGCATATGTTTGTCGTGATCCAGCTTGCAGGTACATCATATACTCTGGAATCTTTTAATATTTGTTTCATGAGCTTTCATGTTCGTATAATATAACTCTTTCATACTGCAGGGATGCTACTACTGTGGGCTTGATCAAGGCACGTGACACTTACCCATTTGGAGTGGATCCCGCGTGGCATGGTACACGCAGTGAGCTTCCATTCCTTAACTCACTAAAAATGAAAATGTCAATCCTACTTGGAGTTGCCCAGATGAACCTGGGAATAATATTGAGCTATTTTAATGCCCAGTTCTTCAAGAATAGCATAAATACATGGTAAGTTGATGTTTCCGTACGTTTGTTGCTGATAGGTCTTCTACTGGTTGATTTAGGATCCATTTGGATTGAGAGATTTGAGGAGGAATTTTGGGGATGAGGGGTTTTAAAGTTCATTGTTGAATCCCCAAAAATTTTGGCAATCAATGTATTTAGAACACTTCTCGATTTTTATTCTTTTTTGTGTGTGTGGGTGTGTGTGTTTGAAACTCTCTCTCTCTCTCTCTCTCATTGACACAAAACAATTCACTCGTTACTTGCTAAAATGTACTCCTACTAGATTTTTACTGTTAACTAATAGAAATTGTTAAATTATTTAACTATTTGTTTGGACATGAGATGTTCACAGATTCAAGGTAATTGAAAATCCATGGACTTTCTTCTTCCTCTGATCTCCAATACCTCAATTAAATGGAACATTAGATTATTTGCATCTGGAAATACCGTTCGATTTATCAACTGCTGTAAACATTTGGAAACATTCCAATCACATCATACATTTTCACGGCCGTATCTGCTTGTGCTGCTATTATGCTCTTCCAGGTTCCAATTTATTCCACAGATGATATTTTTGAATGCTCTATTCGGCTACCTTTCGGTCCTTATTATCGTTAAATGGTGCACTGGATCCAAAGCTGATTTATATCACGTGATGATCTACATGTTCCTGAGTCCTACTGATGATCTTGGTGAAAACCAGCTTTTCCCTGGTCAAAAGATGGCTCAGGTTGAGTAGTTGATGGAGAAGCATTATCTTCTCTTTTATTGTGTCTATTTTTTCTATACAATGATAGCTTTCCAGTTTAATACAAGTTCACATTTTCATATGAACAGCTTGTGTTATTACTTTTGGCCCTTGTATCTGTCCCGTGGATGCTGCTTCCGAAGCCCTTCCTTTTAAAGATGCAACACAATGTATGTATGCAGTTTCAAAGCGTTTTGACCTAATTGCAGGAGATGGGTTATCTTTTAGAATTACAATTACAAATATACATTTGTTTCTATTTTGAATATTGCATTTATGTACAGGGAGGATTTTTTTTTTTTTTTTTAAATCCTTTCCTTTTGTTTTTGGGGTGGGGGAGGTAAATGATTTTGTAAATTAACTGGAAATCTTTGTAATTATGTGAACCTTAGGGATACTTTTTTTGTGATTAACATTAACCTAATTTGTATATTAGTATATAACCTATTTTATATTTAGCACCTTTAATTTCTCCATGATTTTTCAGAGGCACCATGGAGAGTCCTACGAACTCCTCGCAGATACAGACGAGTCTTTGTCGTCAGGAGCAAATAACGATTCCCATGGTCATGAGGAGTTCGAATTCAGTGAAGTTTTTGTGCATCAGCTGATACACACAATTGAATTTGTGCTCGGGGCAGTTTCAAATACAGCTTCTTACCTTCGTTTATGGGCTCTCAGGTACGTGCACTCACAAATTTTATTTAAGCTGGCCATACTAATATTAGTTTGACTTTAGAGCACCAGATCTATTTTGGTACACTCTTCTGAGTCTTTCAAATCCGAAGTTGAAGCAATCATATATTCTAGGAAAATTTCAATTTGAAATTTATGGCCAAAAATTCGCTTAGATATTTATGAACTTCATAAATGATATATACCTTTAGGTCGAAACTCATATGGAATTAAATGATATCAATCGATCATCTTACACATCCTTACACAGTTACACATCACATCAATTTAAATTCACATTTCATCACTCACATAATTTTAACTACCTATCACATCTCATAATCTTTCTCCTACTTTTACATTAAATTAACTTTTTAATAATTTTATTTTAATATCTCACTAAAAACTAACCAAACTAATTTTTTCCAAACTTAATCACGGTGAACAAAAAAAAAAATAAAAAATAGTAAAAAACTAGTTTATTTGTATATAAACAAGCCCTTAAGTTTCTTAACCGTTTTCTTGTCATTTGATCTCTCAGCCTTGCCCACTCGGAGTTATCCACTGTGTTCTACGAGAAGGTTCTTCTTCTTGCATGGGGGTAAGTTTGAACTATTTCACCGAAAAACATTCACTTAATGGCACGTGGATAGTCATGCTTTTCAATACTTCTCTCCTTCCCTTCAATTACAAAAGATACAAATAGATTATCGATTTTCTCGTGTACAGGTACAACAATGTAGTTATCCTTATTGTCGGCATCATAATCTTCATTTGCGCGACTGTTGGAGTCTTGTTGGTGATGGAAACTCTTAGTGCATTTTTGCACGCGTTAAGGCTTCATTGGGTGGAGTTCCAGAACAAATTCTACGAGGGAGATGGGTACAAGTTTTATCCATTTGCATTTGCTTTGCTCGATCACGAGGAGGAATGAGTTGAGCTCTAAACTATAAAATAAAAAGATTCGAATGATTTGAGTTTTGGCTTGAATATGAATATGTGGTTGTGTCGTAATTCTTTTGTATGATGCCAATGCATTGGCTGCAAATTTGGTGGAGCGCCCATTTTTTTCCTTCTTCCCTCAGCATAATAAGTAGGATTATATGAGGTCCTGCACTTGAGAAATTTGTTTGACAGTGTAATTTATTTGTATCCATATTATCTTTATTTATTATTCAGGATAGCACGGATATCTTTGTATTTGTAAGCAAAAATTAATTATCAATACAGTTCTGTTTTGTGTTGAGTAAATAAATAAACAAATTAATTGGTGTTTATTTATTTAAAAATTGTTACGTTTATTTTGAGATTATCCAGGATTATGCTTGTTACCTTTTTTCTTTTATATTTTGTTCTGTCCTTTGATGAGAGCTCTGAGATGTCGAATTCCATATATATTAACTGGGTAAAGGTATTCAGGAACTAGTAACAAGTGTCCTTGTACAATTATATTCGAGTGAAATAACTTGGAAATTATATTTGAGTGAGATAAAAATAGGCAACATATCTAAAGCACAGTATATAACAGTAAAACCTTTCACCATGAATAACGAGATTTTGATTTCACCATTAGTAACGAGACTTCGATTTTCACCATATAAATAACGAGAATTCAACTGTCTTAACAGGGAAAACACCTCGAATTAGTCTTAGAACATCACACAATAAACATAATTCACTGAACCATGAAAAAACACAGTGAACACCTCTCGATGTACAGTGATGAGGTGGGTGTGCAACTTTCAGTGGTTAAATAGTTCACTGAGAAGTGCTAACAGCTGCAACGGTGGAAACCATAGAGTCCACTCCACAAACATTCCGTCCCCGACAGATTTTGTAGTAGCCATTTTCTCCCCAGTTTTCGCCCCACGAATTTTTAATAATCCAATACGGCTTATCCTTCATCCTGATAGGAGCATACCCAGATTCCCCATAACCAACGAGCAATACACCATGGTCCAATCTCTTGGAGCAAATGTATGGGCACGAGACTCCTTTCATGTACGTCTGCATAAAGACTGCATTGATAGCCACTGCACCAGAGAAAATGAATGAAATTACCATGTCAGAAAATGAACACGCATGTTGTAGAACAGAATTATAATGAACTAATCCATAGATGAAAAGTGAATATAATACAATTATCTACATGAAGGAGATGAAATGTAAAGAAATTTATGATCGAGTTGAAGAATAGTTTATTGCTTTTAAGTGGTTTTTGAGCTTATAGCTTATGACTGATGGCTGAAAAACTAGTTTATATGATAAAAGTGTTTGGTAAAATAAGCTGATAAGCTAGCTGAAATAAAAATTTCAATGAGCTTATTTGAATAGCTATCCAAGGAAGCTTATGAGATAAGCTCGAGCTTTTTAAAAAAGTTTGTCCTACCAAACCAAGCTTTTATGTGAATATAGGAAGCTTATAAGCTAACCAAATAACCTATAAGCTAACTTATTGCTTATTTGGTTAACAAACATAACCTAAGATCGGGGGATAGAGAGAAAGAGAGTAGATACCAGCAAGAGGACCATTCTTGACAAGATTTGCAGCAATTTGATCTTCATTAAGGGAAACGACGCTAAAGTTAGCAACCTTTGCAGCAATTTTAGACTTGTCAAACTTGCAAGCCCCACGATCAGTGCCGGTGTAAGGATAGTCCTTCTCTCGCATTAGTCCACCAGACTTGAGTGTGTACTCGAAAGCACTGTTCATTAGTCCCCCGTTGCAGCCAGAGTCACACGAATCCTTTTCTTCGGGATCACACTGAGGAATGAAAGCTCGTTAAATGCCACAACATCGTGTACTGGTTCATTTTTACTATTTTTGTTTCAGAAATTATAGTAGTATACTCCAGTCCAGTAGTAGAAATAAAAAATAACGGGATGGCCTTCAAGAAAAGAAAAAAGAACAAGAAACACCAGATGCAACATAATCGATCTTATACTTTACAAATATACTATTGTTTGCCAGTAAGTGTGAAGAAATTGATCACAGCATTCATGTCTGACAAGAAAGAATTGAATAAGGTTAGGAAACTAGGAATTTTAATAAGGTATCATTGTCTGGTACACTAAACTAATGGCACTAACCTTCTCAAATATTTATTGCAACTATAACTGTATCAGCTATCAGTAACACACTAGTGTTAATAACACAGATAATGATGCTAAGAGCCCGACATGCATACCCATAATAAGTAGCAGTATGGATTATGAAATAAAAGAAGTTAACATAGAGTTATCTAAACCTCATGATCACAATCCACAAGTTGTTGCTCGCTGAGGCTCTCAAGCTTTCCTGTTGCCAGAAAATTGGCACCTTCCAGAGCTCCTGTTGTGCTAAACGACCAGCATGATCCACAAGAACCCTGAAAAGTCATTTAGAAATTGCATATTATTAGTTATTACTATGTGCATTTAGAACTCACTAAACGCATATATCATAACATCAACATCTCATGGTTTCTATTTATATGTATTTTATATCTGTAAGCAACCAGCTTACAACCACTGGATGTAGCTCAAATGTAAGATACAACATTGAGAATGTAGTATATAAGAAAATACTTTCATAATGGCAGGTAATATGTCACCAAATTTTCATTGGAAAGGTGAGAATCAGTTCCTATAGATTTTATCATTGACACACGACCAAATTAAACTTGCAGTCATCATGATTCATGACACTACTTACGGTAAAAGTAACATCGATGTTTATGGTGCCTTTTATCACTTATGTTAATAAACATTATGTCACGTTTTGATTGGATTTAAAGACAGAGAAATAAGCTGAGCCAGACGACAATGGACTTCTAGATTTTGTAATCTTTGGGGCTAAAATATGGTACAGCATACAAATCCACGGGAGTTAAGCTCTACAACAAATGTAAGCTGAGGAATTTAAACGTTTATGTAAATTGATGAATAGTGTGCTAAAATAGTCAATATGAGGAAGCAAAGCTTGTTATATCCTACATCAACTACAGATCAATATAAATAAACCTTTACAGGATGCTATGTCAATCCTAAGCTCCATTAAAATTGCCAAAATATCTAAAATCCACATATAAATATACCTGATTTTTCACCGGTGTGACAGCACCATGTTCTCTCCAATCGAAATCGACCGGCAGATCATTGGTCGGCAAAATCGGCGCCTTATTAGCGTCGGAAGGGAGGCGGAGCTGCCTGTTGAGGCCAAGGAATTGGCGGCGGAATTCGCTCGGCGTCAGATCGGAGAATCGCGTGACGCCGTGGACGGCGGCGGGGTCGAGCTTCTGGTGCCGCCACGCGCGGCGCAGGTTAGCCTTGAAGATCCCGAACCTGCGGTCGTGCTCCTCCTGCGTGGCGTACGACTTTCCGAATTTTCTCTTGAAGATCGCGAAGTGGTGGTCGGCGTTCAGTAGCGTGTTCTCGTCAACGGCCCCCAATTCCTCGCCGTGATCCACCACCTGCCGAATCAGAAGATCGCCGCTGTCGGCAGCACCTCCGGCATCTGCATCGGCGGCAGAGTAGGTAAACGACGTCGCGATTAGGAGGGAGAAAAGGAAGAGTAAGGTAAAGCGTGAAGCCATGGCGTTTGTTGAGGTCTCTCTCTTGCGTTTTTTTCTCTTTGCAACTTTGTGCGAGATATTTATTTATACAGTTTTGCACAAAAGCCGAAAGCGTCTATGAGTGGGGAGACGGTGGGTGATGTTCAATGGGATGCGGACACGTATCAAAAGGTGATTCGTGCAGAGAAACCAATAGTGTTGCTACCTTTATAGTTGGCTTGGGTAGGGGTTTATTAGAGCACCCACAATGCTTTGGGTTTCTTAGAAAAAAGTTACATGCCATGTAAGAAATAGACCTAGTCTATAAAAAAGTATTTTCCAATGCAATTAAAAGTGGACCTAGTCTAGCTTATGTGGCAATAAAAAAATGAGACCTAGTCCACACTTGGATCTATTTTAGACCCAAGTACAAACCCAAGCACTCATCATTTATTCCTCATTTAATTTTTCTTTTAATAAATGAAATATACTAGAGCATTTTTATTGGTTGTCAAGTACTTTTTTGTTTTGCATTGAATAGATTTTGGTTTTTTTAGTTTAGGTTTGTCCATGTCATTATGGACTTAAGTCTATTTATTTGCCACATATGCAAAAAGAGACCCAAAGCATTGTGGATGCTCTTATGAAATTAGACTTTGGATACTTTATTTAGAGCATTTCTAATAATCCTCTTACACAAACCTCCTTTATCTATTTCCAATATGTCACGTCATCTAAAACCTCATTCTTATTCCTACATATCTAAACCTCCAATATAAAAGCATCTCTAATAACCATACTCCACAAACCTCATTTATCGATTCCCAATACGTCACATCATCCAAAACCTCATTCTTACTCCTACACATATAAACCTCCCATAATAACAAACCTCATTAGATGGGCATAATTAGTATGTATGTGTAGCTATTTATTCTAAATGTTGTATAAGCAATATTAAGTGTTTACTCCTTTTTTTAAAAAAATCAATCTCAACTCAAAATCTAACTCATATTTAACTAAATTTTATTGTTCTCAATATTAGCAATATAATTAAATAATACAATCAATTACTCTTAAAGATCACATCAATTTTAATTCACTAATAAATAATATTCTCTTATGGTTGTGTCCAATTGGTTGTTCCTGTATCCACGACATGCAAACACTTTTTTTTTTTAAAAAAAATATTATTTTGAAGGTTTGAAGGAGGTTTATATCTACAAACCTTGTTTAAATTGGTAAACCTCAAACCTTACCTTTCTAATAGCAAACCTTGAGGTTTGGATTTTTAAAACTCTCTCAAAACCTACTATTACAGATGCTCTTAGATGGGCATAATTAGTATGTATGTCATATGTGTAGCTATTTATTCTAAATGTTGTATAAGCAATATTAAGTGTTTACTTCTATTTTTAAAAAAATCAATCTCAACTCAAAATCTAACTCATATTTAACTAAATTTTATTGTTCTCAATATTAGCAATATAATTAAATAATACAATCAATTACTCTTAAAGATCACATCAATTTTAATTCACTAATAAATAATATTTCTAACTAAGCTTTTTCCTTTTTCTTTTCTTTTTTAATTATGTATGTACTATGCAATAATGCTAAAGAGCCAACAGTTGGCTCCGTTACGGAGCCAACAACCAGTGAGACAACTCCAGGTGGGGCTATCCCACAATACTTTAATGTGGGACAGCCCCACATAGAGTTGTCCAATTGGTTGTTGGCTCTATAACGGAGCTAACTGTTGGCTCCTTAGCATTACTGATGTACTGTGTAGTTGATACTTGTTAATTTACATCCATATTTATGGTAGTAGATATAACACATGACATTACCTTAAATTTATATATATCAGGAATTGACTACAATGCCAGATTGCATGATTTTCAATAGAATTAAGAATTCATATTTCATATACTATCCTCGTCCTCTCTCCCTCCCTTCTTTCTCTCTTATTCGACCTCGCTTATCCGACCATCAACTAGGACTACAATCAGACTCTTTAATAACGATCGGCCAGAATCGGTGGTCTTATCACTTATTTCACCCATTTATTCGAATTTTTCTTGTAGGGAAGATTTGAGCTTGAGCTACAGCTTATTGACGTTTTGGTTTTGAACATAATTTTCAAATTTGAGAGCTTATGATTTGTGGGTCTTACCTTTGTCTTTGGATGAAGAGACCAATCAGTGTATATATGTGTGTGTGATGATGGCTTTGGTGATTTTGTCTAACTCCTGGTGAGTGTCAGAGGCTTATGGTTTGTAGTGGCACAAGTGACGACAAGTTTGCAGGAAGAGGGTGAAACTCTATTCTACTATAGAAGTTTAATTTGTGCTCTAGATTCGTGTGT